AGCACTGATAGTTAGGCTTAAATTATAATATATTTCTGTATTAATAAAGAAGCCCGTAAATATCCCAAACATTGTTATTATTGAATTTAAAATGATTAATCGATACATATGAATTTAAATAGTTTGAGTAATTYATAACGATAATATTATATTTTGTATGCAATAGGTACTAATTATATAATGCTTACTTCCAATATAGTCGTATGAGTTTCTCGAACCACAAAATACAAAAACAAAAATCTCAAAGMACAGTGTCCCATAAAATATCCGTTGTGGACGAAATTAGTATCCAACTCGTTGAGGAAATTGACTGTCAATGTCGTCACAGTCGATACGAGTATTATAACTGATTCGACGATGATTAGTACTGCGTGATATGCGTAATAGGCTTTTACTTCCTCCGTCAGTCCACGAAGATCAGTAAATAAACTATTAATTTCTTTGGGATAKATGTATTTTGTATCAGGCAAAGAGTTATTTAACACACCTGTACAATTAGTATCAATCAGTTAACAATTGTAGATATATTTAGATAATCAAAAATCTTAATAATTTTAAAAATACAGTTTTTCATATTATGCTTTTATCTATTGGACGTTTGACTAAAATATTATCTAATAATACCAATTATTTTTTATCTAAAATGTATTAGGTTAATGTTGTTTCACGTCGGAATGAATTATTTACAAGGAAAATTTAATGATGGCTTTTGAAGGAAAACCACATTATTCATTTGGAGCTTGGTTGATGAAATACACAACAATTAAGTATTTACGTCAAAGAATTGATAACATAGTTAGTATTGTAAGCATACGAATTGATACGATTCAATTTTAATATATATTTTAACAATTTTACAAAGGTAGGTATTTTATATAAAACAATTTGTATCTGTTTTTTTACTCCACCAATTCGCCAACAAGCAGAGAAATACTAACACAAGGTGACACACCACGTCTCAAATCAAATACGAGTATAATATATGTTCGATACAGATTATATATATTATTATAATTTGAGTTTGGGGGGAGGGGAAACACTGTAGGCCATCGCACTGTGAACAATGTAGCTATACATTTATGTGATACCATCATACCAAATAAGCACTTACTATATACGAAGCCGGTATACCTGCAGATAAATACCTGGTRCCTGGTATGCCTGTACTGAATTAAATATAACTCAAAGAATGATAGATTTGAGTAATATGTATTAATATGTAACCTTTTATGATATTTATATAATTTTTCGTTGTATTCCTATAATAATAATGATAATGTCACCTTCTATATTATTGTAAACCTATTCTGTCATTTTATAATTGTAGGCTAWTACAGGGTCCGTCAGAACAAACGCATGTTTTTCAAAATAATGCTACGCTCAAAGTAATTTCAGTTAAAAAAAGTTTTATTATATCAAAAAATGCAGACGCATATGCAGTTTTTTTATATGTAACAAAATTTATGTTTTGAAAATAATGTCATATACATATGGCTCATCTCGCGTTTTGGCCTCCTGGCTCCCTTGACTTGAGAACATGCAATTTTTTTTGGTGGGTCACATAAAATCAAAAGTCTACCAATACAAACCACGAACCCTTGATGAATTGAAAGACGAGATCACTCAAGCGGTGGGTGAGAAAAATTTYGAGACAGATGCTGGTTGACACGATAGGATCGTTTTGCGAGTGCCAACACCCCTACTAAGTGGTTCAAGGGCGCCATATGCCTGACATTATTTTCAAAACCTAAATTTTGTTACATATGAATAAACTGCATATGCGTACGCATTTTTTRATATAATAAAACATTTTTTACTGAAATTACTTTCAGCATAGCATCATTTTGAAAAACATGCGTTTGTTCTGACGGACCCTGTATTATTATTTTGAAGTAATTTATGATCATTTTAAATTGTACAGCTTCAAAAAGGCCACAACTCACTTAAAGATAATAATATTAATAAAAACCTTTGAGAGACCCTAGGTGATAATCTTACCTAAAAATTATATTATAGGTCAATTCACTCTAATTGTCTAATATCAAAACTAGCAGCACACTTTTGAAACTGGTRAACGAAAATTTGGTATACCGTACGTATGTGTACGCCGGAGGCTATATATGCCGGCGTGACGTTTTTWAGACTATTATTAATCTGTTATGACTTTATGAGGTTATCTGTATATTATCATATAGTAGTTTTTGAATTCACGAATACRTGCTCACTTTTTTTGAAAATTCTGTTGGTCAACTGGTACCTGTCCCTTAGCATCCGAACGTATGAAATGTACTGAACGATTACCAGCATCGTCGATGAGCAAAACACATTCCACGCCAACAGTATATACCCAGCGATGTTCGTGTAGTATAAACTGCCAACGAAATTATGGGCACCGATCAACAAGACGTACAATACGTAGAACGTTTGACTGCGTACATYTGACTGACTCGGCTCCCTCGACGCCGAATCATCGAATTTGTAGAATTTTTCGAGCACCCGGGTATAGCCTTGGCTCCTGTGTATTGAAATCGAGATACTTAAGATGGTCACAATAAGCTTGGACAGTACTTCTATAAAAATCACCTGAAATCGGGTATAAGCAGAGAGTTACGTAACGTATYAAACATTTAACAGCGTGTTTTATTTAATATTTGACTCGAAAACAAATATAAATAATAATAATTTATTTCACTCCAGTAATAAAACGCAATCGTAGAAGTTAAAAGTTTTTCACTGATTTCTTTGAGAAGGGCATCTTTAAAAAAAAAAAAAAAATTATCATATTTAAAATGTATCAGCATAATATTAATGCTCTGACAAGTTTAATAACAAAAACTAGAAGGGAATCTCTGAAATGCTAAATTAGTTGAGATTTAACACTAAGAATAAATAATTATTGGAACAACGATTTATACATTTCAAATTACAAAATAATTAAAATATTTAAAGATAAAAGAATGAAGGCAATCAAAATTSTAAAAGTTTGGTATAAAAAAAAAAGTAACAATATAATAATAAAATAAATTATAACAATACAAATACAGTAGATTCATTCAGCATTCCTATCGTTGATGAATGCGTCTCTTCAAGATATAATTATATTTATTTCAGTTTTAAATAGTCTTTATCATTTATTAATTCAATATCTATAAGAATGTTTTTGAATATTGATATAGCTTTGTAATATTTGTAATAAAGTGTTGATAAGCAGTAGTATTTTCCAAAATATTGCAAAATATTGCTATTTATACTCATTATCTTGACTATATTACAATACGTACCTGAATTATTGAAAAATAATAGAAAAAATGTCTTAAACTTATTTAAAATTTCTAAATATTTATATATATATGTGTATATTATGTATTATAATAGGTACATAATGTATATAAAAATTGAAACTAAAGAAATTAAATGTTTYAATCGGTTAGACTATGGAGATCGACTCTTATGGTTAGCGACCACCATTACTGTGAAAGCGTTTTTAATTAATATAGTAGGTATCAATTTAAGATATATAAATATTTTCAGTAATTTTGTTTTGTTTTATACATAAACGTTTGATTTGTTTGACGTGTATAACAGTTAATAGACATGGCAACTTGATAAATTTCCATATAATATTTCTAATAATAATTAAGTTATAATATATATTAATATTTACAGAGATAGGTCCATTAACGTCAAAATAGTCGTATCGTTTGTTATTTACAACGTCGATGTACATACTTTCGTTAACATACTGTACTTCGGCTCTACATTTTGGTTTTTCTTGAAATGATACACGTTCACATAAACTCCGGAAGAGCATAGACATGTCCACAACACAAAAGAGTACAACAAAGCTATGTTAACGCTGTTACTTCCGGCAAACGGCAGAAACCCGAAAACTTTGGACGTGTAATACAAAATTTTGGGGTTGACAATCCACAGCGAGTCCATAATTCCTCGAGGTTGATGATATAATATTCGAACATAAAATACTGTTTAAACGGCAGTACACAATATTATATTATACTAGCAGCCTGTCGTGCATTTCAAGAGAGAATAAAATAATACGATTAAAAACACTCATGGGAATTGTTACGCGAGCACTCAAAAAATACTCGACTGAAGTTAACGCTCAGTATTGTGCCGTTGTGTTGGACAATAGAATGCAACTTTTGATATCGAGTAGTCTTAGACAGTTTTCTCACTTATCATTTTTTTTTATWTTTTTTTTATTACAATACACTACCATTAAGACTCGACAACTCGCTTTCATCATTAACGATCGATCTCAATTATTGATTTAATGGTATTCCTCAATAAAGGCCACACCTGTTGACGGCGGTGGCGGCATCTTCAATACTCGCCTTTTATCTATTGTTCCGTATTGAACACCACTAAAAACCCTTTTGGTGTGTTCAGTTTGTAAAACAAATCGTTAAACTAACAACATAATAACGATAGTTGTTTAATATGAATCATACTTTGGGTAATAAATAAAAATAATCTTTTAAACACTTCTTAATAACCACATTTTGATATTGGTACCTATACACAGTAGGTGACGACTCGCGTTCTGTTTGTAACTAAGTAAAAAGAAATTTTAATTTCATACTTTGTTGAAAAGTACGTATATTTATGAATTATAAAAACCGTAATTAGATCCAAATAATATCAAAGTAACAGTTTTTCATTCTATTTTTAATATATATATTATATATATATACAGGGCGATTTTTTTATCATGAACCACTCATTATTTCAAAAAGTATCAATGTT